TGTTCTGATGGGGCAAAAGCCGTTCTGCCTGCAGGAGCCTTCACGGGCACCTCTGCCCCTGCTCGAAGGAGAGGGGGGTTCTTAGGAGTCCGTGCCCGCATCACAAACTCTTCAAGTAATTATCATTTCCAGCTTGGAGAAGAAAACTGTTTAATGAGCTCTCTGGTGCATGTGGAAAAAAATGTGCAGGAAAGTGACTTCAGGTCAGTATTAATTCCTGTTCAGAAAGCGATTCATTCACAGGTGCTCGTAGCTGAAAGAAGAGATCCTTATTCTCAGGGCAATTCCTCTGAAGGTCTTTCCCCCATGAGCTTTAACAGCTGTCGTTTTAGATGGTTTCAACGTGCTGTTTGCAGCATAGACCTTCTTACTCCTTCTAGATGATACGCTAGTAAAATAGTATATTAGTAGAGCGGTAAAAATACAGTTTGTGAGAAAGGATTTTGTGTAGCAGAAAAAAGAGATCATGGGAAAAGAGCACAATAGCTGAAGCTGACCGTACCCACCAAAACAGTCGACATTCCCACTGTTCATAAAAAGTCCAAAAGTATTGTTATTAGTTGCAGGTCCAATACCATAGTACTAATTTTTACAGAGAGCTTACTTTTGTTGTTTATGTAGAAGTTTTGAAATTCTCATATTATCTAAATAACAGTTAGTCTTGCTTAATATTTTCACAGTCATTTCATACACTTTTTCTTTTTTCCCCTCCAGGCCCAAAACGTTCAACACAGCAAGGACATGACTCTTGCCAGCAACCGCAGTCTGGCAGAAGGCAATCTTTTGTACCAGCCAAAGTTGGAGTCGTTGAAATCAAATTTGACTGAAAAATATCAAGAGCTGCAAGTTCTTTTTGAAGCATACCAGATAAAAAAAACAAAATTAGGTAACATTTTCTGTTGACGATTGTGATTTGCTGTTTTCTAAGGGAATGTAAATCTGTTGCACGTTTTTTTGTTGTTGTTTTTGGTGCCTCGTTTTTAGCTGAGTGAATCAGGGTACAAAATGAAATGTCATTCTCGTGTAGTTCTGAAACAAATCATGCTTCTAATGATTTATTAAGTATCTGTTACACCTGGTAATAGATACTGTAGAGACTTTCTGTTACTGTGTGGTTACCTACCTATTACTGACCTACTGTTCTCTAAATGATCAAATTTGTTTATCTTGCTAAAAAGCAGAACATTATTTGAATTTTCAATGATGAATCATAAATCAAATGGAATATTGCATTTAACTTTCTCATTTCATACTGAATTATGAAGTATTGTATATCTGCACTTGCTGAAGTGCTTTGTCTTTCAATATTATAAGTATATCATTGTAATTAACTTTCAACTTTTAGCACTCTGACAATATCCCTAAACTATTTAATATATTTTCTTACTGTAGATCATCCTGTCTAGAACAATGGAGTATGCTAGTTGTACATACATGCCTTAGAAATTTTTGTGCTTGCTGAGGCTGTATTGCTTCAGTTAGAAGTCACTTAGAGCCAGCTGTCATTTACTGTTCTTTTTGTGCCATTACAGACAGACAATCCAGTAATGCTTCGCTGGAGACACTGCTAGCGCTGCTTCAGGCAGAGGGGGCTAAGATTGAGGAAGACACAGAGGTAATGACAGTACACTTCAATTCTGCCGCTTGTACCCATTACTGAAGACTTTGAGTGTATAGCTGCAGTATAGTGTTGAACGTGTAATGGACTAAAGGGGTATTTTTAAGAATATGGTCTGGTCTTTGCTTTGAACTTCAATGAACAGTCATTTGGCTGCAGCAAGAATTTTTTTTTTCTGAGTAATTTTTTTACTCTTAACATCTTTGAAGTTTAAGAGAACTCCTTCTCAGAAAAGAAAGCCAAACCCTCTTAGTTCCTTGGCATCGTCTTAAAACCCATAGCATATAAATGTGAAAAATTTTTTTTAATGGTGTTTACCTCGTATATGTATTAATCCATTACAATGTCAATTAATAACCTAATGAAAAACTGTGCCTGCACTGTTTTTTCTCCAGCATTTCTGGTGAAATATTTCAGTATGATTTCAATGTATCTGTCTAGGTGCCAGTAGTCACCACTCGCTGTGATACAAGTGCTTGAAGGGTGGTCTGTTTTCAGAATAATGGAAGTATTTGGGTTTGTTTGCTGATTTGCCTGTAGGACATTGTCTGTAACTACATAGCATGTTAGCCTCAGGGGAAAAATCTGCTTATTGGCCGAGTTGTGATTACAAAAAGACATTCCCAGGACAAGTTGAACTTTGTGATTATATGTATGGTCACCTCTCTTAATTATTAAACATCATTTACCCAAAGCCACAAGTAAGTGTGAGTATTAAACCTGGCTTAGCAATAATCTGCCTGTCTGTACTGAGGCTTGCAGAGTTCTCCGAGTTTCTGTTGGCATCGCGTGCAGTACTGAGCTGTAATTCATCTTAGCTGGCAACCTGTTCCCATCTCTGATGATCAGGGGAACGTTCAGAGCTAGATTCAGATGTTCTTACTGCTGTTGCTTCAGTATAAATTTAAGCAAAAATGATACTTAACTCCCAGTGATTCTGAGTAATAACGAATTCAAAATTCTGCTCAGAATTTTTAGCATGCCAGTCATCTTCCATATGCAAGCTGGAAGATCACAGACAAAATGATGCTATTTTTAGGATATAAGCCATTTAGATTCTCTTGCAGTATGCCATTTTCTAAGAGATTGTTCCATATTTGACAGAATATGGCAGAAAAATTTCTTGATGGTGAAATACTGCTGGATTCCTTCATTGATGAGTACCAGAACAAGCGTAAACTGGCTCACCTGCGACGTGTAAAAATTGAGAAGCTCCAAGAAATGGTGCTGAAGGGACAGAGACTTCCGCAGGTTCAGCCACAGGCTCAGCCGAGAGCACCCGAGACAACACCAGCACCTCAAGATTCCTACACTTCGGATGCAAACACTCCTCCTTCACTTGTGCCCCGACGAATACCACCCCCTCCACCTTCTTCAGTCCCAGCAGGACGCTTTCCTACTCCGTTTACTGCAGCCATGAGTTCAGGACCAGCTCTTTCTTATCCAGGTGCTCCGTATCCTCCTCTCCCCCCTCGACCAGGAGTTCAGTCTGCAAGTCAAATGCCACAGCCAGGATACCCATCTCAGTTTGTACCACAGTATCCTCCAGCTCTTCCCCAAAGACCACCTCGCCTTCCACCGCATCCTGGCTTTATCCTCCAGTGAATATTTTGGTGCGCCTAACTTATGTATTGGTGCTTATATTTCCTTTTTCTCCCCATCAGAGACTTAATGTAGGCAATGGAAAGCCTCTGTTTTTTGCACAATGGAGTACAAAATCCGAGCTGTGGCACAGAGGTTTGCAATTGCGTTTGGTAAATGTGATTATTTTTGTTTTCAAGTATCAGTGACAACAAGGTTTTTCTAGGAAGGTGATAGGGTCTAAATTTTGTAAATCCATCAAATTGTGAAACAGCGTATAGTGGATTTCCTGACATTACAAATCGAATCATGCTCCGAATTCTTTAGTGATGGTAAATCAGCATCCTCTTCTGTTCTGATGTATTCCCATCGCAGCTGCATGTATGTGTGGCAAACTGGGAGCTATTTGTCTCTCTAAAGAATTCTCTATCGGTGCCAGTGTTTGGATAGTAACAACCATATCTGAATGCTGGGCAAAGAGTTGCAATGGACCGCATCAGCATCCGTTGTAGTGTGCCCAGACAACGGCATTTGTGGCCAGGTGCACAACATTTTCAGAGCTCACTGAGCTGAAACTCTTGTCAGAAAATGTTCTATGGTTTTTAGACAGTAAAAGTTACAAGAGTTTCATTTCTACATTTCAGTTGTTACTTAGACTTCTCATAATAAAAGTATACACTCCTCCCACTCCTAAATAGCTTGATATCCTGAAAGTCCTGGTCTCTTGAAATTAAACTAAACTGTTTGTAGAGCCAGTTTAGGGTTTTATAGAAACTTTACCAGGCATTTTTATTTCCTTGCCTATTAAGACTCTTTCTTACGTGTGTTTTTTTTTCCACACCTTGGATACAGAAGTGATTTTTTTACACAGGTGCTTAGCTTTTGATATCATGTGATTCCAGGAATCTAGGCAGGGTATTTTCTTAATCAAATACTGGGTTTTCACATCATGTAATTGCCCACTTGAAGCTCTGCAATTTCATTTTATCCCTCAAACTCAGTCTCTCGCTTGTCAGAACTGTGTTTAACTTTCCCATTTCCTTTAGTTTTGCAGTTTTTGGCATGTGTATGTATCTGGAATTTGCAGTTAACATTTCTTTGCAAGCAGGCAAAACAGAAAAGCTTTTTGAACTCCATGTGGCTGTTTGCATCTTACATAATCCATTCTTGACTTCTTATGCCACTGGAGGGGGAGGCTTTTTGGGGGAGCTCAGATTTCATTCTCAATGTGACTCTTGAAGGCTGAGGTGCAGACACGTGCTGGTATTTTAATCTAGCATTGGCGGAGGCAAATCTTAACGCTGTTGCTTGCGCACAATGTGTCCATAAATTCATTATCAATTTCTTACATCCACGAACAACTTTCAACTATTAATGGTAATTTAAGAAACTCACGGTCCAGAATCGGTCATAACCCCTGCATTATTTCAAAACATTTTCATATCATTAGCCTGGAATGCACTACATTGTTTGGAAGTCTGTAGTACAAACAGCATCAGTTAAAATAGAATATCTATTTTTTTTCTTTACGTAAGGCCCTTGACTGTCCCTTAATCATTTCCTCTGGAGTGTGGTGGTTGCTACCAAATACTAATCTCAAATTAGGCTCATAACAGGAAGCTCTCTATTCTGAAAATACGAGTATTTGGCTTGTTTTGCCTTCTGAACACAAAGGGCAGAAGGTTGGTCAGTGTTACTGGCATCTGAACCAATTCCCCAGTGTAAGTCTGGAAAGTTTCTATAGATGGGGGATTTTGTGAAGCAGTGTACATTGGATTTGTTTGCAAAGTGTGTTTTTTCTGTAATCTAGTGATGGTACAGGATGTGTTTTTTTTTAAAAATAGTGTAATATCTTTTCTTGGTATTATTTTTTCATTGAAGCTTTGTTTAAGCATGGTTAATTATGACTCGTTGCAAAGTAATTTTGCTGTGCTATTAGTGCTGGTATTTGGATGGCAACTGTTGTATCTGAATGCTAAACGTAAGTCTGCTGTAGAAATGATTTATGTCCTAGAAAGAATTAAAGTGGGTGGGGGCTACCAGGGTGGTGACTGAGTACAGAAATTCGTACTTTGAGCCTGCTACACAAAAACTCTAAAACAGTCTCAAATAGTTTTGCTAACATTGAATAAAAACAACCAGGTATATTTTACACTTATCAAGTGCCAACTTTTTTTCAGAGGGTTGAAAATCCTCAGAAGTGATGGAGGTGATAGATAAGTGTATTGTGAATTTGCACTGCATTTTATGTATCTAACTTTATTGGTGGTAGTAGTCCAAAAATGTTTTTACTACTTGTTAAATTTTCTGTCTTTTGGTAACTTTTGTGATAACATGACCTTTCAGGGATACTTTATCTAAAAACAAACTCTTGTGCAAACTAAATACAGACAAAGCTAATGCAATTTTTCTGTCTGAAAGCAAAACAATGCATTATTGCATATGCATGTGGCTGATGTGCCTTAGGATCACTACTTGTGATTGTAATACTAGGATATTAGCATTTTTATCATTTGAATGGCCATTGTGTAACTCTAATTTAAGGGCTCTTCAAGAGCACTTTCTTTTACAAAAAACCCTCATACTTCAGAAGAAACAAAGGCTGTATCTGCTATTTGTAAGCTTATAGTTGCCTTCATTGATGGATAAAAGTTTGAACATAGATAATATAACTAATGTGATGTTTCAGTTATAGCAATCTCGTAACTGAAATCCAGCTGCTCATGGAAAACGTTTTGCCATTAATTAATTGTGTGTGTGTGTGCGCACAAACTGTAAATATATACTTGACTGCTGGTAATGTTTAAGGGTAAAGGAGAAAGATGACTGTGGAGAACTGTTTAAATCCTTTCAGAAACAAATGTTACAGAACACTAACCTGAATGAGTTGGGCAAGAGATGTGTCAGTGCTTTTGACCTGTTGCCCTTCGACAGCTTCTCCTGTTCTGTTATAGCTAATAAATAAATTCTGCTATGGCTAGGATGTTTAGAATCATACTAATTTGCACTGTTTATAAGATAGTGAGATTAAAATGCCATAGGCAAGCTGAGACTTGAGAGGGGGTGGCTCAGTGTGCTTGCCAAAATATATATATTATTATGTTGTCTTGAGGATTTTTAATGTCTGCTGCAAATAGCATATACTTCCCCAAAGCAATTGGAGTGGAGAAATCTTTTAAATATGATGTGTCACATGGCTTTAGAGTGTTGGTAGCGTTGAAAATGCTCTCTTTGGATGGCATTACTTTTGCTAGTCTTTTGTAAGCAGTTTTGTAAGTTATGAGTAATTCAACTGTATGTGGTTAGGTTGTTTGATGGATGATCAGCATTGAGTGGTTCAAACTCAAGGATGAGTTTCACTGCACGTCACTGCTGTCTCCTAGAGGAAGCGAAGTCAGTTGTTCTAGCACAGCTGATCCACGCAGGTCACCTTTGTACCAGTGACCCTGGAGGGACTATATAGAATATAAGCTTTCACGTGATGCCAGGAGGCAGAGCCCTGGGCACAGTCTGGTCATGGGTAACGGTTACGTTTAATGCCCCAACTTCCACAACCTCAGTCTTGACCTCTTTCGGGACTTCTCTGCCCTCTCAAACTGGAATAACGACTTAGATACAGAGCTCAAATCGACAATTCCCTTAGCCTGAATATAGGCAACTTGGCAGACGTTGAGTTCTGAGGAGGTAGAGTTGTCCTGCACCTGAACAGTTCCTCTGTGTAATCCTGGATGGTCTCATAAAGGGGCAATTTTATATGCCTAGCAAGTTGTGAAACGTACAGTGGATTTGTTTGCATAATAAGTCTTTCTGTAATCTACTGTGGTCTGATTTTAAATAAAATAGCATATCTCTCTTGGTGTCATGTTCCTGTTGTGGCTTCATTTAATCACGGTGGAGTTATGTCAGTGTTTTTCAATATTAACGGTGGGTTTAATGTAGCAACAGTTGTAGGTGAATGTAGAACATAAATTTGCAAGAAAGTAACTTGAATTCTTCACAGTAAATCTGTTGGTCATGTTTTTAGTGACTGGATATAGCGAGTCCATTTTGTATGTAGCTGATACAGGATAGATATGCTCAGAGTAGATTCTGCACGTTGTAATCATGGCAACGAGGTAGGTGGGCTGTCTTGCCAGGTAGAATCCCTTCGCTTTTGTTTTAGTTTCCTACAATTAGCTGGGATAGTGGAAGTGCTTAGAATCTTCACCTGGAAAAGCTGAAGGAAGGGGGAAAGCCACTTTTATTTGTTAATAGAAGAAAAACTCAGATTTCAGCCAAGTCAAATTAGGACAAATGAGTCAGCCAAAGTTATTTAGGAATATGAGTCAGAGGGCAGAAAAGACCTGATGTAATTTTCTGTAATATCTGTTGCTTTAATAGCAATGTGAAATACAAGTCCCACTGCAGAATAACTGATAATACATGGAAGAAAATCCCTTTTTTAATTGTTTCTTGATATGTTCCGTTTGTGGTGGCTACGGAGATATGATAACCTTCTGCTGATGGAGAAATAGGAAACTACAGATGAGAAAAACTTGCTGTGCTGACTCAGTGCAGGTGGGCGAGGGAAGGGGATGGTGTTATGTAAAAGCTGCAGTTCTTTAACTTGACTCTTCGAAGAATTTGCAGCAATGCCCATGTTTTGCAGCTTGAAGGAGGTGCATGCAAAACTTCAAGAAGTGCCTGTTCTGAAATGGGTTCGGATGCACGTGGCTCGTGTGCACCAGGAGATCGTTCTGGGCGGGATCGATCCCTGTGCAAAGGAGAGGTAACCCAGTACGGTAGGGGACTCACATGTCAGTTGTGTCATGGATAACAAAAAAAGCAAAGTAACGCAAAAAACGCAAGTGGTGTGTCAGTGATACACTGGCAGTATTCCACGTGGTCTTGACTTGTTCCTTCTCTTTGGAAGCTGGCTTCGGAGGCCGTGCAAGCCTACACAGATCCTGCAGTAGCCCTTGTTCCTGTAATTTGAGTCCTCTTCTGGTTGTATATTAATCAACTCGGATACAAGTCTGTTACAGGTATGTCTGTTCACCTCTCTGAGACTTTGTCACTAGAAACAAGATGTGTTGCTTTGAGTTCTCCTGGGAGATTTTTGTCGCAACTGAAGTTTTGGAGAAGCCTTGTTGAGACTCTGGTCCCCAGCTGACATCCTGTC